TAAGAATAAATAGGGAACCACAAGGTTAGTTGATGCATGCTTGAATTAAGCGAGAGTTAAAGGTAAAAGGCTAATGAAAGATAAAACGTAGGTCTTGGGACAGTGAGTTTGTAGCTCTAGTTTGACCTAGTAAATGGTGGAATCTGATCATGAAATTTGGTGATCATATACTACACATCTAAAGCTTTAAAATGAGAGGTAATATACCTTAATTGGATATGTATACTAAGATATACGAATTTTCAAAGTTGAGACAAGAAATCTGAAAGTTCTAGAATTTACCAAATGAACAGTAAAGTTTAATGAATAAATTGTATGAATTGGTCAAGTATAAGTCCGGTTTGATATTTTTGACTCGTAGAGAATTGAAAGAGCTTCAAGTAGAATTTTGGAGCACCTTAATAAAATTTTTATAGAATTAGTTTTGAATTTTTGAATTTGGACCTATAATCTGGAATTTAAATAGTGAATAGTAACCAGAGTAATTATGTTGAAATTTTTAATTCACGAGCTTGTTTCATGATCCGCTTGAACCGTAATGCTTAAAAATGCATACTCTGAGGGGTACAAATAAGGACGTTATAGCAAGATCACAAGGGATATGATTTAATTAGATAACAAGTTTTATGGTAAGCCTAAATTAGATTAACTAAGACAAATGGTAACTCTTACATTGTAAACACCGCTTTGGTAATTCTTACATTATAAATACCCCTTTCTTCCTACCATTTGTATGTTTGGATGCCAAGAGAGGAAGAGAAAGGGAAACATGAAATTTCAAGTGAAAAAAGGAGAAGAAGAGGAGAATAAAGTCCTAGACAAATACAAGCTTTAAAATAAGGTAAGGTCATGGTTCTTGAAGTAGTTTAACTTGCTTTTTGACTTGTTGAGCTTGGCTATGGTTTTTGATAAGTTTTAGAAGCATAAAACCTTGAGGAAAGGTGCTTTCCAATATTGATTAATCCATATAAAAGAATGAATGATGATAGAATCATGTTTAAAAGTTAGAAAAGAGAAAGAATCAAGTGGTTTTGTGATGAAAATTGAACGAATCCAACTTCCCCCAATTCTATGAAATTTTTGGCTAGACCTAGGAAATGATTCAGAGTTGGATTTTGATGATTTTGATGCCTTTAATGTGTTTAGAATGAAAAATTATGTGGGGGTAAAGATGAGTAAGCAAGTTTCGAAGATTTAGAATTGAAAATGAAAATTTGAACCCCAAACCCTATGTATTTAGCCAAGTTAAGTTGAAGGGGAAGGAGTTGAATTTTGTTTAATTTTAGCTAAAAAGTGGATTCTTTATATACAAATATGGGGAAATAGTATGTAAAATTAATTTTAGGAAGATTGAAATTAAAGCTCAAAAGTTGAGGTTAAAGTATGTTAAAGAGCAAAGTATGAATGTCATTGACTCCATGGTTTATAAATGAATGTCAATGATGTGTTAATATGATTAGGGCCATGCGACATCAAGAAAGATGAGTGGAAAAGGTTGATCAAGCAACCTTGATGGTTAGAAGCAAATGGAGCAAAAGGAAAGATTGAACATAAAAGGCTAAAGGTGGCAAACTATACCCTATTCTTATATACTTGGTATTACTTGCATGTATGGCATATTTGTATGTTTATGTGATTTTATGAACTCATGCATTGTGAATGTGAATATGTTTAAAGTGTGTCATAGGCCTATGTGTTTTATGATAGATGCATGATGATTTCCAAACATGTTATTATATTATAAAGATGTTAAGTTCCAAGCATGTTATAAATGCCAAGCTTGCCGTGTATGTTTGGGTAGTTATTGTTTACTATTGAGATTCTCCTAAATCTTATCCTCCCTTAACCAATCTTAATAGGTGTTAATAAGCAGGTAAGAGGATGCATGAAGTAAAAGCAAAGAAAAGAAGAGAAGAATTGAGGAAATATGTTATGTTATATTATGCAATTTTTATATTAATGTATGATGGATAATGCCAATGATATTTTGTAAAGTTAAATGATGATGATAGCATAGATGATGGAGCATGTTAATGCATGAGAATGAGTTAAACAATGCTAGCCTGATTATGAATATGCAATAAATAAATATGAATTGTTAATGCAAAGTAAAAGGAATAAATGACCCTTAATATGCAATAAAGTTGAGATAGAGTAGACGTGAAGTAAATGAATGTGTTTGCCCTTGAAACTTTATGAGAAATTAGTACACATCAAGCTTTAAAACAAGTGGTAGATCTCTTAAAATGGATGTATGTGCTAAGAGATATGATTGCTCAAAATTAGAGTATAGAATATGAAAATGTACTATTTAACTAAATAAATAGTAAATTTTTGTAAATTAACTATATAAATTGAGAAGGTCTATTATATTTTTTTCCTCTATAGAGAATTGAAAGGGCTTTAAATAGAGACTTATATCACCTGTGCTATTTCTATAATTAGTTATGGATTTGCAAATTTGGACAAAAAATTTGAAATTTATTAGTGAATAGCAACCTAAGAAAAATATTTCAAATTTTCAATCTACGAGTTTATTACATGATCAGCTTGAATTGTGGCACTTCCAAACATGTGCTTAAGGGGTAAATATAATGATGTTTTACTTTCTGCTCTTGAGATGGTTAGGTCTTCTTCAAGAGACCTGTTTTGATATCAAATGTTAGAACGGCAGATCACCCAAGAGAGGGGTAAATTGTGTGATTTAAAAAATATTTGAACTCGAAAGAAAATAAGAAAGTAAGATAAGCTTGTGTTAGAAAAAATTACCGAAGGAGAAAATGAAGAAAGAAGCACACAATAAAGTTATACTGGTTCGGTCCTAACCACTTGACCTACATCCAATCCTTAGAGCATTCATGAGAGTTCCACTATAATCCAAGATCTATAATAGGCTTTTGGTGCCGTAGTGCAGCAATTGAATCACTCTCATCACTCCCCTTTACTTCCCCTGAGGTTACAACCTACTCAAGATTCCCACAATCTTGAGTAACTCTAGATGGAATAATAAATGTTTAAGTATGTCTCTCTCTCAGAGTAATAAATGAACACCGATGCACATTTGATGAACTTAATAAAATAGAGTAATGAGCAATAAATTTGATAGCATAGTTGTTTGTTTTCTTCTCTTTTGCTCTATTCAATGCTTTGTCTATTTATAGTTAATCCTTTTTAACTATCTGTTAGACTTGAAGCAATTTTACTGTTTTAGAAGTAGCTAAAGATGATGGTAGCTTGTAACAGTTGAAGAGCATTTAATGTTTCTAACAAAAGTAGTTTAATAACATCATTTTTTTGTTGAGCCATTTAATCTTGTATTAACTTTGCTCAAACTTGTCATTTGTAATTCAGAGTAGTAAGAAAGGGCAGAAGATGAGCAATAAACAAATTTCAAACAAGTTAACTTTAATTAGTTTAAGGATAGGATAACTAAACTAAATAAGTATTTATCGATAACCTTACCAATAACTACCATTATCGATAATCTTATCGATAAATGCCTAAAGATATGAAAATTAACTATAAGAAATAAAGAAGTTTAAGGCCATTTTATTGCAAAACTTGTCGATACATTTTGAAATGAAAAAGTGTTTATCACAAAATTTATCGAAAAGTCGAAGATAGGAAATTTACAAAACATTTACATTTGCAAATTCTTTATCAATAATTTTATCGTTAAACATCAAAAGAAAACAACTTTAAAGATTAAGTTAAGTATGTTATCGATTACCTTATTGATAAACTAGATTATCGATCAACAATCACTGCTGAAAAACTTTTAGGGATAATTTCTAATATTATGAAAAAAATTGATTTATAAAATCTTATTGATAAAGAATTTGCAAAGTCCACAAGATTAGACAATATTAGAAACAACTTTATCAAACACCTTATCGCAAACAAACTTTATTGATAACGTTATTGATAAGCCAAAATATTTTTGTTGGGATCCATCAAAACAACTATTTTGAAATTTGAGAGTATTTATCAAAGCCTTTGTCGATAGTTGGCATTACCAATGAGCTTATCGATAAAAGTCTCTTTTCTTAAAAGAAGAAGGTATTATCAATAATCTTATTGATAATTACAGAGTCAATTTTAGCAACCAAGTTTTAAATGAATGAACCAATTAACCTACTTTATCATCATCAAAACTGAATACTAACAGTTAGTACAAAGTAAAATATATTAAACCTATCTTAAAAGCAGCAATAATATGTACAATTTACCTCTATTTTCCCATTTTATTATCTATAGAGACTTCATCCTTTTTTTGGCTTTTCATTTTTTGTCTGGTTGTGCAATAAGCTTTAACCCATTCTCATGACATTCATTCTCATGGCATTCATTCTTTTCATGGCTGACTAACCACTGCATGTTAAATCCCCACAATGATCTTATCATTTATAAATAAAAAAAACGTTTGCTTTTTTAACAACCTACTTGTCATATCTAATCACAAACTTGTTACCTAACAAGTCAGCTTTCTTCAAATAATAGCTCATTATTATGAAATAACGACTCTTCCATTTGAAATAAAAAATCCTTAATTATAATTCACTACAAGGAAATATAATTTTTACCTGCCCCATTCATGTTTGCATACAAAAATGGAGGAGAAAAAAATGAGTATTCTTGTCTCTTTTGGTAAAATAGACAAGAATAGCCTAGATGTTCTCATCTGTTGTGTAAAACAGATGAGAACATCCAATTTCTTATCTGTTTATCTATAATAGATGAGAAGTTTCTCATCTGTTAGTGGTAATAGATGAGAGTTCTCGTTTATTATTAGTAAAACAGATGAGAACTACCCCTTCTCATCTGTTATTAATAAAACAGACAAGAAGGGGCCTAAAAGTTTTTTTAAAAAGATTGCATCCCTCGTTAAAGTTGAGTAGCCCATCATGAACAAACAGATCCCTTTCCATCTTCATTTCTGCATCGCCTCTTCCTCCTATCTCCACTGCTGCCCTCATGGCCACAATGATGGAGTCCATTGCCTCTTCCTCCCATCTCCATTGTGAAGCTTGTAGGAGCTACGCCTCCAGGCTTGCCTTTCTCCTCTGTAAGATGATGACGACGCCATGGTTCTCCCTCTCCAAGTCTGTCGTTCATTCTCCCTCTCTAAGTCGGCGACTCCACCAAACAAAGGAGCTCACCGTTGAAGCCACGGTCACTTGCATCGTCTCTTCTCCCCTCTAAGTTGACGCCAAATCTACATTCTTCCTTCTTTGATAGCTCTACTGAATAAGGTAAGTTCAAGGGCAATCTTCCTCCTTTTGGTTATTCTATATGTGCTGCAAATGGAATATGGGTTTGTGTAAATTGCTCTTAAATCTAGAATTGCATTTACAAAATTTTAAACTTGTATACATTGATTGGGTAATAGATTTAAAGCCTAAGAAATTTGTTAAACTTGTTTGAATATTCATGCACACAAGGTGTTTGTCAAAATGTCTAAGAGAGAATTTTCATATGTTGGTATTGCATTACAATGGTAATATAGTTATTATCATCTTGAAAGGTTTATTTAATAGCAAGTTGATATTTTTTTGGATGTGTTATCTCAAAAGGAAGCTTTGGCAAATTTCTTTTCAAAATGAGTAAACTTGAAAATTGTAGTTGGGATTGTAAAGTTGAAAATATTGGTAAGTTTTTTATATTTTGGATTGCTTTAAATTGTTGGATTAAATAATTGACCTTAATTAATTGGATTAAATTGTTATCATTAGTCTTGAATTTGCATTATTTTTGTTTGAATTGAGTTGAATTAGATTAAAGAGCTAAAATTAGTGTTAAATTGAATTGGTTTGAATTTGTTGGAGTTGGATTTGCTAATTGCTTTATTTTTATTAGGATTGAGTTGAATTAGATTAAATTGTTCAAAATTGCTTGTTGAATTTAGTTTTGAATTGGTTTGATTTTGTTGGAATTTAATTGAATTGTATTAAATTGTCATCATTAGTTTCGAATTGTTTTACTTTTTTTATTTCCTAAATTGAGTTGAATTAATCTTAAATTGTTCAAAATTCCTTGTTGAATTTAGTCTTGAATTAAATTTTTCAAAATTTATTAGGTAGTAACGCAATGGATCATAGTTGGATGACTGCTTTGAGAATGTGTGATAAATTGGATATATCCTAATGTAAATAGTTTGAATTAAAGTTCTTTCATTAATGACAATTATTTCATATATGCATAATGCATTGTACCATTTCCTTGTGATTTGCGGTGCCATAAGCAACAAGGGTCAATAGAGTGCGAATATTACATTATTCGTTATATGTTGGAAATTATTGAGAGTTGATGTACTAAAAAATTTGAAGGGGTAAGTAAATATAATTTTAGTTTTGTAATAGTTGTTGAATTTTTAAATTGAATTGTTACTTATTTTATTTTCTTCATATGTTCAAATTTGTTCATTGTCAATGTACATATTTTTTATAATGACTGCTCATACACCGCTCATGATATTGATTTTATCCGAGATCTTTTGGCTCAACAACTGCTTCAAGAATATAATGGTGGTCTAGGGATTGATATAGTTTTGTTTAGAGATAACCCAGTAGTATTAGGTTATCAATTTTGACTTTTGTAATTTGTTTTTTTGACTAGTTAGTATTGATGAAATCATGATCTTGATATATGTTGGTTGAAAATATTGACTGGTTTAAATGTCACACTATTTGAACTTTTTGGAAAGTGGCTATTGTGGATGTTCTTTTGACATGTTAATTACTGTATGGCAAGTGGTATTCAGGAAGTATATTCTTTTTAAAAAAATGAGTACATTTACGTTTGTTCCAAGAAAACAATAGTAAATAGGAAAACTTTTTACTTCTGTTGTGAAAAAACAGAAGTAAAACCTCACTACTATTTACTTCTATTTTGGAAAACAAAAGTAAAAAATCACATTTTTTACTTTTGTTTTATGCTAAAACAAAAGTAAAAGTTTGATTTTTTACTTTTGTTAATAACAGACGTAAATAACACTATTTTTCTCCTCTGTACAAAACAGGAGTAAAAGGTGGGGTATTTTTTATGTCCCTTCTTTTTATGTCCCCCCCCCAAACAGAAGTAAAAAGTCTCCATTATAGTAGTGATTAACAACTCTTCAAATCAATTTAGATTATAACAAGCCCATTATTATATGTGCTAAATGATTGATATGTAAGACATGGAAAATAAAGGAATCGTTGAGTGGGAAGAGAAGAAACTAAATGCCATTTTAGTTTCTTCAACATACTTCCAAACAAAACTGATCAGACCAGATTGTCGCCTTCTGGGTCATCAAGAAAGTGATTCCACTAGATAATGCAATATAGGGTGTAACCAGTCATTTTTCTCAAGGAGCATTTTATTGGTAATCCTAGTTGAGATTGGTTATCAAAAACATGTTAATTTGGGTAAAGAAAAGGGGGTTTGAATTATGAAACAGTAGTGCAAAATAGACAAAATGCAAAGTAGTAGATCTTTTTGGTCTTTTAAATAAATGAAGGAATGATTTGGATTAAGTGGGAAATTATAATGAAATATGTAACATCCCAATTTTTGAGCCTAGAAGTATCAGAAATAGCTTGAATGAGATAGGCTACTAGACCCTTTTTTAGTAGAGGTCCTAAAGATGAGAAAGGAAGTTAAAGCAGTTTCAGGGACTAAACTGCAAAGTGAAGGTTTTAAGGTGCTAAAGGGTAATCAAAATTAGAAGCTCCAGTAAAGTCTCGAAGGCCCAGAAAGAGAAAAGAGGCTAGATACAGACCAAAGGTTAAGTTAAAAGCCTCAAAGAGATGGTTTTATGATGTTGAGCCTAAGCAGGGGTAAATCCGTAAATTCAGAAAGTTACGGCCATCAGGGGTAAAAATGGAAAGTACTTAGAAAATTCTAAAAAAATCCCAAAAAATGGGAAATAATATTCTAAGGCTCTTTTGTTAAGAGAGATGATGAAAATACCCCTGAGGTAACTTAAAAGGAATTTATAAGTTTATGGCTCAATTTGAGATGTAGAGGTAGATTCAATTGTTTGAGTCGTAAGGAAACCTCAGAAAATTATGGTAAAATGGGGATGTATGATCTAAGAGACTATAGAAAATTATAAAATTAGTCTCATCCCCAGAAGACCAGCAAAATGGCTTTAATAATACTTAAAAGCCAGTTGTGCCGAAAAAGGGCATTTTAAAGAATGATTTTTAAGTGGGGCTACAGGTTGAGTTATGACCTGAGAAATTCACAGATTTTCTCTAGAACATGAGGAATTTTATGATATTTTTGGATGAATTTTTGAGCTCTGGATTGAATAAAATGCTCCAGTCAAATATTAAATAATTTTGTCCCCTAAATAGGAGACAAAACCAAAGAAAATATCTAAGAGCCATCATGACGATGCTGAGTCAGCAAGCGTAATCATGACACCTACGAGTCATCATGCTGAGTCACCAGAAGATATTTATGGACAGCATAAAAATCAGAACGCAGTACGGGAATATTTTAGATAGTCTTTTGTCTACCCGTTATAGTGAAATCTCTACTGCATGACTCAGTAAGGTTAATTAGCCTGTCAGTAGAGCTAATTATTTTCATCTATGCTCCTCTAAGATGGCACCATATATGTACTTTTTATTGGCCAGAATTTTAAGAAGAGGTTGTCCCAACGGTACAGGGTAAGTCAGGACCCGAAAAATATCCGTTACAGTGTAAGATTGGCTTGATAGGTGGAGAAATAATTAGGAAAATATTTTTGCACGAATTTTCCATTTATTTTCTCCCTATTTTAATGCCATAAATCATGAAAGGACATGAAAGTGACAAGTGTACGGTTAGATGAGAAAAAGAAAATATTACGTGTACGGCTAGATGGAAGACACGTGTACGGTCAGATGCAAGACACGTGTGCGGTCGGATTAAAGACATGTGGCTTGATGATGTAAGCATGATGTCATGATGATGAGGTAAGCATGATGTCATAGGACACTTGTCACCGTAAGATCAAAAGAGAAAATGGACGGTTCGGATCGAGCCACGTATTTTTAAGATCAACGGTCCAGATTCAGTCTGTTTTTCTATAAATACCCCCTCCCCTCCCTACCATTTCATCCAAGCATAAGGAATCCATGGGGAAGCTCTTGCAAAATGGTTTCTAGAAAGAGAAAGAAGAGGGAGAAAGAAAGGCCAAGTGGTTCCAAGCCAGATCAAACTCTAAAACAAGGTATGTGATGGTTATAGCACCTGATTTTATGCCTATTTCAGATTAGTTACTGTGCGTATCTGACTCTGAAATTTTTCATGCTTAAAGTAAACTCTGTGGGCTTTAAATCCATAGGTAGAACACTTCATTTGGATATGTGTACGATTTATTGTGATTTTTCAAAGTTAGGGTTTGAAATCTGGAAACAGTGTTGAACTTTTGGAAGAGTTTCGAGTTCCGTACAATTCCGGTGCTGTTCGGCATAGAATTGGTTCCTGAAACTATTTTTCCTTTAAAGTGAACTTAAGGAGCTTTCAGTGAGACTTAGAACCACTCAATTTTGATTTTTTTAGAATTAATTATGAATTTTCAAAGTTGAGCAAAAATTCTGGAAATTCTGTGTGAACAGTACCCGCGAAGCAAATTTTCCAGATTTGGTATTCTTGAATCTAAGGCCATCTAAAGTGGTCCTAATTGACAAGAAATGGATCTTAAGGATGGGAAATGATAAGATTTATGTTAGAAAAGTTAGAAAGAAAACCCTAAGACTAAGAGAAAAGGTTGAGGTTCAAGAAAGCTAGTCATGAACTTTATGTAATCTAGTGGTCCTAATGGATTGTATGATCATTATGGTTATGTTTAGGACCTTTGGAACATCCAAGAGGATGTTTGGTGATGTTGACCGAATGTCCACATGGTTGGAAAGACAAGGGAATCAAAGGAAAAGTAAGGGGAAAGCCATGTTACAAGGTAGTGAACTTACCTATACTGTGTGCTTGATATGTATGCTTGCATGATGTGATTGTGTTGCCATGATGTGACTAAGCTATGATGAAATGTTTGCAAAGTTACGTTTGCAAGTTTATGTTATGTTTTGCCTTGGCAATATGTTATGGAAGCATGAA